TCATATTTGTTGTAGAAAAAATATATTTCGTACAAAACTTATAATTCATGTATTGTTCTTGTCAAGAAAAAAAAGAAATATTCAATCAGTTTAGAAGTCAGCAATATTGATGTAATCAAGTTTGACATTTATGCAAAGACCTTTGCATCGGATGTTAATTGATAATAAGTTATCATAACTGGAATTTGTTTTATCAAACAAACGATCGAAAAAGATATTAAATGTCAAAAAATTTTCCTATGAATGAATATTATTATGTCAATAATTTATTAACACATTTGAGTATTGAGGAGAAACATTAGTTACTTAATGGAAATGGATAACTGACAATGTTTTGTGTATCTTCTTGTTCTTTTATTAACATACTGATTATTCTCTTTAGAGTTGTTTGTATAATGTGTACATCTCGGATCACGTACGAATATTCTCAAATCACAGAAGATTTCCATGTCATCAAAATCGACGATTTTATTGCGATTTATTAGTCCGATAATCGTGAGATTAATCGCGATTAATCGTCAAAAGTCCGGGGATTTTGATGACACGGGTTGATACATTTGTTGCTCATTCTCAATTAATTTCAAAATATGTCGAAAGATTGATCGAAAAAATGCATATGAAATTTTATCGCGAAAAATTGTTTTAATTCAACGGTCTAACAGCTAGTCGAAGAATGGTAAAACTTATGGTTGAAAAGAAACATTCTCAAAACGTAAGATTAATATCATTGAGAATGAATTCTCAACTTTAATGAAGAGTATAGGGAAACGAAGTAATGTACTTAGGGCATACCAAAAGTAGTGGCGCCGATCCTGTAATATTTTACAGAAGCCTTTAGGAATTTTTTTTTCTCTATATATTCTGATAGCTCAAGTCAAGCTCTATAATTCTATGATATTTCTTAAATCTTCAAACAATATATAATATTGGAAACGAAGCAAAAACAATGAGTGATTGACAAAAAAAAATTTTTTTTTGAACCAAGTTTATCATGTTTTTATTACATCAAATGTTCAAAATAATCACCTCGGTTGTTTATACACAAATACATTCGTTGGATCCACTTATCAAAAGTTTTTTTATACTCTTGTTTTCTCAATGAATTCATGAATTTGATCACAGCTTCATGCAACGATTCTGAATCATCTTAATCGCCTAGATTTTGTTTGATTGAATCAAACAACCAAAAATCGCATGGAGCTAGATCTAGAGAATTAGGTGGATATTGCATTATTGTTAGGCCTTCCAATTGAAGATCATTGACTACACCTTCATGCATATGTGGTCTTCTATTATCATGATGAAATTTAATTGATTGAATGCCTAAGGAAGGTTGTTACTTCCTAATTTCATCAATAACTGATCGCAAACAATTATTGATGTAATATTGATGATCGATTGTTTGTCCACGTTTAACAGAATGAATCAAAACTGGATCAGTTGACTTGAAACAAATACACAGTAGAGTTTTTGGAGCAAAATGACTACGTTGAATCATCGTTGGAGGAACGTAGGTAAAGTTAGCAGCGGATTCGAGTTTTTTGCGAAAATATTTGTCTACAGACTTCTGCCAAAAAAGATGTTAACTGCGCCAGATAGAGCATCGAATGTTCTATAGAATTCATACCTTTCAAAAAAATTTATCGTAACAAAATGGCCAAAAATTAAAAAGGACTACTTTTCAAACACTGTTTTTAGCGAAAAAAACAGTATTTCGGCCTAATATTCGTTTCAATACCTGTGTTAGTTTCAGAAAACGACTGTGCCAGATAGAACTCGATGAGATCTGTCGATTGATACCAAATTCAACCTAGTTCATCATCGAAATGGGTCTTCAGTTGTCCCGAGATCAGTTAGCAGCAGATTCGGACTGATATTATGAGTAAATATTCACACAGAGAGTTGTGCCAATTAAGAAAACACTTGTGCCTGATCGATCTCATCTAGATCTATCGATTGATATCAAATTTAATCTAGTTCATCATCAACATGAGTCTCTAGCTCAACAAAAGCCTGTCAGGCAGTAGATTTGAGCTGGTATTATGAGTAAATATTGAGACAGAGAGTTGTGCCAATTAATAAAGCACTTGTGTCAGATAGTTCTTAATGAAATCTATCGATTGATATCAAACTCAACCTAGTTCATCATCAACATGAGTCTCTAGCTCAACAAAAGCCTGTCAAGCAGCAGATTCGAGCTGGTATTATGAGTAAATATTCACACAGAGAGTTGTGCCAATTAAGAAAACACTTGTGCGAGATAGTTCTTAATGAGATCTATCGATTGATATCAAATTTAACCTAGTTCATCATCAACATGAGTCTCTAGCTCAACGAAAGCCGATCAGATAGCAGTTTTACACTCGGATTATGAAAAAATATTGAGACAGAGAGTTGTGCCAATTAAGAAAACACTTGTGCCAGATCGATCTCATTGAGATCTATCGATCGATATCAAACTCAACCTAGTTCATCATCAACATGAGTTCCTAGCTCAACAAAAGCCTGTCAAGCAGCAGATTTGAGCTGGTATTATGAGTAAATATTGTGACAGAGAGTTGTGCCAATTAAGAAAACAGTTGTGACAGATAGATCTCGATGAGATCAATTGTTTAATACCAAGTCCAACGTAATTTATGTTTGATTAAATAATCGTGTCGAGACTTATACGAACGGGATGAACGATGGTGTGAAAAGAGAGTTGAATATAATAGTTGGCACCTTGTCAATGAAAATCGGTGCATTAGGATATTGTATGTCACGTTCGGCTTGTTTTTCGGTATAATCTACCCCATGAATATTACAAATTAAATAATTGTTCATGATGTTTAATTTATCAGTTGAAACTAACATTCGAGTGCTAACGTAATCTTGAGTATTTCTTTTTCATACATTCGTTGTTCACAAGTAAAGGGTGTGGATCCGGCTGTTCAGAAGACAGAACAGGCACACCCACGCCCACCCCACACTGACACCCGCACAACTCTCTGTCACAATATTTACTCATAATACCAGCTCAAATCTGCTGCTTGACAGGCTTTTGTTGAGCTAGAGACTCATGTTGATGATGAACTAGGTTGAGTTTGATATCAATCGATAGATCTCATCGAGTTCTATCTGGCACAGTCTTTTTCTGAAACTGACACAGGTATTGAAACGAATATTAGACCGAAATACTGGTTTTTTCGCTAAAAACAGTGTTTGAAAAGTAGTCCTTTTTAATTTTTGGCCATTTTGTTACGATAATTTTTTTTGAAAGGTATGAATTCTATAGTACATTCGATGCTCTATCTGGCACAGTCAACATCTTTTTTGGCACAAGTCTGTAGACAAATATTTTCGCAAAAAACTCGAATCTGCTGCTAACTTTACCTACGTCTAATGACATCTGAATCGGTTATTAGAAAAATGAAAACTACAAGTTCGAGAGAGAAACAATTTCATTGTTTAACGAGCTCCCTCTCCTTTTTATTAAAACAAATTAAATAATCACTTTAAAACTTGTGCATTATTTAATTTCTTCCGAACAGTTTGTTGGATAGCTTCTTTTTCCCAATCTTCTAATTCTCGTTCTTTAATATTAAATAAATCATTTGTATTTAATATAGGTTTATAAAAATAAAATGAACCATCTTCATTGAGTAAAAATCTTGATTTAAATTGAAATGATTTTGAATCTTTATAAATATTAAAATACCATTTTTCAAGTTGAATATGTTGTGTATCATTTTCTAATTTATAATTATAACATTGATCACAAACAAGTAGAATAACATTTCTAATTTGAATATCTTTTGGATATAATACTAAACCAATTTTTGATCGTTTACATAAACAATTATGAATTGAACAACTAAATAAATTTGATCGAGTCAATGTTTGTTTATTAATTGAAAGGTTTTCATTATCATTATAATGTAAATTTAAATAAGGTTCTATTCGATGCATTATAGATGATAATATCATGAATTTATAATTCAAGTGTTGTTAAGAACTATGAAAAAAATTTCGTGTTAATATTTAGATAAATATGACAAATAACTAACGTGTATTCAAGATACGACTAGGTAATGATATCTATTTTTTTCGTTATTATGCATTCCTCCAGTGTATAAATATCTATCTAATGACTCAAATCTATGACAAAGCAAACATTACAAAAAAAAAAAAAATGATAATGCACATTTTAAGATTAAAATAAACACATTGTAGATTATTGTTTAGATTGAAGATTATGTGAAGTTAATTATCTGTATAATGTAAAAATGTCATGTTTGTTACATTGTTTTAGTATATTCAATGTAAATTTTAGACAAAAGTACACACCAAAAATAGTTATGTAAGACAAACAATGATTTAACAAAGTTTTTTTTTTCTTTTCTATTGTACTCGATACTTTTATTTTATAGTAACATAGATTCTTTTTTTTTTCTTTTTCTTTACTTGTGTATTTAAATCAAGGTAGACGGTATTGACACTTGTCATTAAAGATCAATGTTTTTATTTTAGCTTAGTATATTACACCTGTATTGTCAATCAGAAAATATTTTCATGACATCATTGATAAAATTCTTCATGTGGAAAGAAAAAGAATGTTTAAAATTAGTTTATTTGACTTGACAATATTAACATTTGCTTTTTTTTGTATAATCAAACAATGATATAGACACAAGAAAGAATTTCTTAATTTATGTCGTGAATTTTAAATCTTAAATCAAATTCATTTAATTTTAGATTTACTGTTGTATCCAACATAAGAGGAATGTCATTCCGACGATCTATCAGTATCAATACTATTATGGTAGATATTATGTGTTAACATTTCCAAAAGTAAAAACTTGGATAAAACATCACTTAAATTCGAATTCATTTCTAACAAAATATTCTCGTTAGTAGACCTTTTTTTCTTTCTTCATGAAATACAAAACAATCAACACAAATACATATACACATACATATATATATATATATATAAATATACATTAAATAATAATTAACAATTATATAATAACTGTTTTTGAACTATAATTTGTTATAAGAGAATCTGATGAAAATCCATATGAATTCGTTGGTGTTGTAGGTGTAGATGGTACTGATGATTCTTGTTTTGTTTCTAATATCAGATTATCTGTATGAGCTCTTAAGTGATCACTAAATTTTTTTAAAGGTACCCATTTCATACATTGTTTCCATAGACATCGTTGAATCTTGAAAAAAAGAACCATACATGTTTTTTGTTTTTTTTTATTAAAAATAAAATTCTTCATCATTATATTACCGTAGATGAATGTTGAACATGAAAAAGACGAGCATGAATAAAAACATCTTCACGACGAGAAAATGGTTGTCGACAAGATGCATACTGATTAAAAAAAGGTTTAAATTAGAAATATTCATAAGAATCAAGGTTCTCGATTAGGGACAGAGATTTTTACATCTTCATGCTAATTTTGGACAGCAACCGGATTTTGAAATATGATTAGCCTTTCGCGAGCAGAGGATGAAATAAAAATAAATAGACAATGTCGTTGTGAGATGAATAGGATTCGGACAGCCTGCTGGCAGATCATCTGTTATAGAAGGAGCTGAATCATAGTGAATTTTGTCCTTCTCCTATTAAAGTGGAAATTATCAAGAAATACTTAATAAAAGCTTCAACTCAGACGAATAAGCTAAACCAATACAAAAACAAAAAAGACGAAAGACGCTGTAAGCAAACTGCTAATCATTACAAAGGAGTATATGTTTCTCTAATACATGCAGCATATAAACTAGACCTTCTTTTCAAAATTAAAATTCTTCCATCTACAGATTTTCATAGAGTTATATTAAAATTAATTCCGATAGAAAAGTGAAACTGAGAAAACAAACATTTTGAGGGTGTCGTATGGGATGCAGGAAGAGTAACATTCGTCTTTATTTTTTTTTCTGCCGTTTAAAACTAAATGTCCTGAAAAATGGTCGGCGTCTACTTTACCTTTATATAGTACTACTACAAAAATTAGAAAGACTACAGATAATTTATGACCTGATATTCTTTTATTTTTTATACAGCTGAAAACTTTTGTTCTTTTATTATAAATTTCTCGACTATTTTTCGCATCAATCAATATTCGTAGACTCCTCCTTTCCTCGCGGTCACCACTTCTATCATTCTGGGAATGAAAGCACTTTCAGCTGCTCTTCCCACCCTCTAAAAAATATCGACAATTCTGATTAGAACTTACTTCACATCTGTAGACTTGATTAATATCACATTGTAAAACTTCAATTATACCACTTTCCATTCCACAATAGACCTAATTTAAAACAAAAAACAAAAAGAAATAGTTCAAAATCAGAAAAAAACCAATCTTATATTTATTAATACAAGATTATTTTTAAAAATCATTGAAATAATCGATTGACTTGTTGATGTTGTTAATTGTTGTATAAGTTCATGTGTTTGTATATTAAATATTTTAATAAGACCATCAAGTGATGATGCAATTAATAAATGTTGTTGTTGATTCATTGCAATATTTGTTACAGCTTTTCCAAATTCTTTATATTCATATATTATAGTACCATTAAGAAAATTATGCACAATAATTTTTTTATCTGCTGAACAACTATATAAGAAATGATGAGTTGAATCAACAATTAATTGACGTGGAGATTTTGTATGACCTCAATTAATTATTATAAAATTGATATATAATAAATAAATATAAATTAAAATTTATATTCTACCTGTTAATGTTAATCGTCGTTGTTCATTAAGTAAAGAAATAACAACAATAGAACCATCAAAAGATGATGCAATCAATAAATGACGACCATCTGGATCACGTGTAGCTGCTACTGCTGATACAACATATGGTGAACATTTAATTGTATGAATAACACACATCTGTTATACGAATAAATAATAGAAAAAGAAAAAAAAAAAAAGATTGAATAAAGAAAACAAAATAAACGAACTTTTTTTAAAGAAATAAATGCTACTTCACCAGAACCTAATCCAACCATTAATATATGAAATTTAACAGCTGTACAATGAACAGGTGCAGCTAATGTTATTTCTCCTTTTGGTTCATGTAATGGATGATCACGATATAATCTTACAGTTTGATCAAATCCGGCAACACATAATATTGTACCACTAAATCTTTTACAATGTGCAACTTGTAATGTTTGTGAACCACCATTTGGTGTAAATATTGTTTGATGACGTGGATGTTCATTAAGTGTTTGAATTTGATAAAATCGTACTTGTCCATTTAATGAACATGAATAAAGTAAACCACGATACATACGTAAACAAACAATAGGACTTTGATGTTTAGTCATTATAATACCAGCTCGTGGTTGTTGATATTTTGTACGTTGATAAGTTTTACCTAATCGACGACGATGCATCATACGCCAAACTTTATAATAATTTATTGGTGGATGATATTGTATTGATGTTATTTTTGTTGATAATAATAAATCATTATTACCAGGACGACGACGTTTAAGAACATTACCAAGAATTTCATGACCAACACTTGATCGAGCTGTTGTACGAAATAAACCTCCACATGTACCAAGTAAAAAATCAATCAATTGTGGACCGGATATAGTAATCAATTCATATGATAAATCATTATCAACTTTCTAATTTAATTTAGAGAAAACAAAAATAAAAAGACATAATTATATTCAATATTAACAAAGTCCTATATATGAACATCAATAGTTTGATGAGTAGTCTTACACTAACAAGGGAACATCTTCAACTGTTGGATGTTGTTCAACTTTATATTATGGCTACGAATAGACTTCGATGAGATATAACAACAACATAAAAGGATTCGAGTCTAACGTTTACTGGCAAAGAGTTATTTTTGTTATACCAAAGCATTTTGGAAAATATTAAATTTTATCTGTAGATAGAGCTGATAAGCATTAAAAAATTCTTATTACAGAATGATGCCATAGTCCAATACGCTTGAAAGTTACAGTATTGCGAGAACAACACATTCGTTTTCTTTAAAAATTTTAGAAATTTTTAATGACTATCAGTTCTGTAAGGAAAATCATTTTTTTTTTTTTGAATAAATTTCTAATAAATTATTGATTGAGAAATTTTTTGTATATACCTGTTCATCTGATATTCGTTCAAGTTGATCACGTACAAAGAAAACTTTCATTTCAAGTGGCATTGTTTGTTCAGATGATTTTTGTAAATTAATTGAACGTGAATGATTCATTGTATTTTTTATTGATTTATTAAAAAGTTTTCGTGTCATTTTATCCATATCTTTTCGTTCAACAAAATGATGTTGTAATTTTGATTGTTGAGCTATTTGTAAACATAATTGCGAGAGAATATCACGACCACGACGAGATGATAATGAACCAAGAAATGTACAACTAATTGAAGATGATGATGCAGTAGTTACACTAGAACGAGTAGTGTTTCCAGCAGTAACTTCCATTTCGGACATTCTTTCTTTTTGGATAATTTTAACGATCCAAAAGGTTTTGATTTCTAATTGAAAACTTTTATGTCCAATCTAAAAAATATAATCGTCGATCAAACAAGAAGTTAAACTAGATCCCGTGTAATATGTAATATGAATCGCTTGTAATCTACCAATGAAACGATGCCGTCTGCCTCGATGATGTTAAACAATTAATATATCGAATTATCAAGAGTTTTTTTTTTGCATTTTAATCACATTTACAATATTAGTTAGTGTAATTTTAGATGAAATAGTATCGTGTGATAGTAAAAGAAAAAGATAATTAAACTGTAGAAGAGTTATAATAATTTTCGCTCTAAAGATGGCGCACATTTCGCCAAATAATGAATATTACTACTTAGCTGATGCAATAAAATGTAATTCAATTCCTTGAACAAACATAAGTAGATAGATTTTGAAATACTTAATCACACTAATCTTATTGTCAAAAGTATCACTATTTTTGAGGATAATCTGATTATTATTGTAGACAACAAGTTTTCGATGTTAAAATCAAACTGAAATTGAAAATAAGCAAAATTTTTGCAAACGTATTTGGTAAATACATTAATCTAGGTTGCCTAATTATCAAGTTTCATATGACTATATCATGCCAAATGTATCTATATAAAACGAGACATTCTTGTCAAAATTATGATCAACAACACATTATGACATTCAATTTAATTTGCCGACTACTTATGACTATATCTGGATACTAGAACAGTAAGATGTTAAAAGATTTCATTACCGTATCCTTTGAAAACAACAAAGATGATAAGCATGCTGTTATAACTAGGAATGTTCCAGTTCGGGTATGAATAGTTGCAGTTGTGTAGCTGAGTGAATGTAGAAAGGATCCACATCCTTCTTAGGAAAAAACCTATCAATATTTCATAATTAGTTTTATATTTCTGAGTGTTCCTAAGTCGCCAGCATTGAAGAAATTGGCGCCTCAGGAGACTGATTGAAAGGTTTTTGTTAAAGTTGATCGGATTTTAAGAGTATATGAAAAATATAACAGAAAACGAATGAATATTCAGAAAAGTAAATCTGGCTGATGGAAAAATAGTATCTTCAATGATCTGAATTGATAATAAAATAATGGAATTCTCGTCATTAATGGTAAAAACCAAATGAATCTTTTATCATTATTTCTGTTGTAATCATCTGTCCTACTCTATTACGAATCGATTTGTTTTTACAGTACAAACATCATATTTTGTTTTTCTAGTCTGATTTTATAAAAAACAAAAATTTAAGATAATTGTTCTATATGTTTGAATAATTCTCTTATACAATCGAGATATGTCTTCTTTTATCAAGCAACAATCAACATTATAAGACTGATGATAAATCAAAATTGAGGCAGATAAATATACGTGTTATTACTTTTACTTTCTAATAACAAATTTGTATAGATCTAAAGTCCTTTAACTTATATAGAATTTCATCAGTTGTTAAATTTGATCAAAAAAAAAACTACTTTATATTGTATTTTTACCAAAATAAGAAACAAAAAAAAAGATGTGAGAGACTTATAATTTTAATGCTAATTGCATTATACGAATGTTTGTTTAGTACAAATCAGCATCATAAGAATACATATAGCAACAATTTCTATATAGGTAAGATATACAAAATACATAACAAACAAACAAGAAATAAACAATATCAAAATAATAACAATTTCTATAACAGATCAATATTATTGTATTGTGTAGCTACTTCAGTATATTTTTTCCCTGAGCATAACCAACAACCAGACAGAGTTGGTTGATTAAGAAATGATATGAGTAGATCTTGATTAATATTTACATTTTGTCGTATTGTATTAGTTGAATTTTGTTTTTGTTCTTCATCTAACATTGATATAACATATTTTCGTAATTTTCTTAATTCTTTTTGTTGTCTTTTTATTTTTTTTAATATTATATTAACTTTAGCTATTTTATCTTCATCAGTCATATTTGTTGATACTCTTCTTATCATATTTGTTATTTGTGAAATTCGATTAGTTTCTATTGTATCAGCTTCAAAAATCCAATCCGATGGTAATTCTTCATGATTAGTATTATAAATATTTGAAATTGATTCAGATTCAATTATTTGTTTATCTTCAATTTTATTATTTGATTGTTTTTTTTTCTTTGGAAATTTTTTCTGTAATCGTTTTCGATGTTTTAATACTTTTTTTTGTTCAACATCGGCAACATTTAATTCATTGACTAACATAACACATTGTTCATTGAGATCGTTTTGATTTTGTTGTGTTGATTTTTTAATTGTTGAAGAAATCATAAGAGGAAGACGAGATGGAGGAGAAAGTGGTGATGATAATTCTTCGACTTCATCACAATTATCAATAAGAAAACCTGAGTGAGGTAAGATGTTTGAATTTGTTCGCAAAGTTGGTTCACAATCGACGATCTAATAAATATGAAAATTAAAAAAAAAATCTATCACTTTTTTTTGTTTTTATTCGTTGTGAATTCATAAAATGGGAAAAGGAGGGGATGATATTTTATGCATTTTTTTTAAAAGCGCTCTGTCAAAAATCAATTTTGGGCCGCATGTATGAAAATGACATGAAATTTTCAACCCTATATCATGATGTTCAACAAACAAGAATCAAAAATAGCGGATTTGACAACTTGAAATTCTCTATGGTTATTCATTTTATAGATTTAATTTCTATTGTATTTGAAATAGAATGTTACATTGCAGATTCTTCATTTCGTCGGTTCAATCATGAGATTAGCCTGCTATAAACATTGATTTTTAACGTTTAGTAAACTTCCAAATACACCATCCTTTCTCTCAACGAATTTTGATATATACTGTTGAGTTTTGTTTAAACTTAGAATTCAATTACATCATACTTTTTTTGAATCTTCATCCCTATTCTGACTCTACCAGATCAATAATACTACCGTCCTACTGATTGACATCTACAATAAGATCCTCTAGCTACATTAAAAATCAAAATTCACAATATTCAAAAGGAGTAAGAATGTACAGTAGAAATCTTAAATTCATACAATGCTTTAGAAGATTCTAGAATAATCTAAGCACTGTTATTATTGACTTGCCTTTTCTTTCATTGCTAGGAAAACGTACACAATGATCTTTGGTTTTCCTTCTCCCATCGCTGGTTGCTAGAGCCTATGAGAGAGCTGGAAAAATCTCGATTTAAACTTATACTCTCTATTTTCATCAAAAATATGTGTTAGTTTCACAAAAATAGTCATCTATTGATAGAAATGCTTTTTTCTTTTAATATAATAGTAAAAAAGCTTAATTCAAAAAAACGGACACTAAAGAGCTTCACATGCTCTTTCAAATAAAAAGAAGCAATTGATTACAATGAAACTTCGAGTATCTTGGGATGTAAGATCAAAAAGGCATCTATTTCAAACAGAAAGTGAGGAAAATTATCAAAATCTTCAGTAAAACAGAAGGAACCAAATAAAAACTCATATTGTTGATGAAAGATTAGACTACGAACTATCTTCTATTTCAACTTTTCTGACGAAAATTGACTGATAAGGATGCTTAATATGGAATAAAACTTAAATGTACACATACGGATGGTGGTGGTGTTGGTAATAATTGTAGATTTGAACATTTGTCATTCGTTGTTGGTAGAGAATTATTAAATAAAATTCTTTCTATTGCACTAACATCATTATAATTATTAGTATCAGTAATGAAATGAAATGAACTTCCATTAAAATTATTATTATTATCTGTTGCATTCATTGTTGTTGATATCTGATCATTAGCAAAACGTATTCGATCAAATGTTGATGAATTTATAGAAGATTTTTGTTGTTGTTGTTGTTGTGGCATACGAAGCATTGTTTCTAAATATTGTGTTTTTTGTTCAGTACTTTCATTTGTTTTTGTTTTTTTTACTGAACGTATCCATGATTCACGTTCATGTGGTATAGCTGTAAGTAATGTTGATGAATTAATTGTTTTTGTATTCATCAATGGTAAAGGTGATGAATCAGAAAAATATGAATACATATTTGAATTTGATTGTTGATATTGATATTGTTGATTTGAAAAATTTATCTGATTATTATTATTATTATGTAATCGATCATCACAATAAGATGATGAATATTGATAATGATGTTTATATTGTCGATTATTATTATCATCATCATATTGTCTATCATGATAATTTTTATTTCCATAATATGAACGATATCGCTGTTTATCGTCCATTTTATTCATATCTAATAAGTAAAGAAAAACAAAAAAAAAAAAAAAAACATCTAAATATTCTTTGCTTCTTTTTTTTTTTTTTTGTTGTCTGTCAGCGAGATCGAAATATGACAAATAAATTTTATTTTTTCATTAGAAAGCGTCGAACAATATAAAGAAAACCAAAAAAAACAAAACGCAAACACCGAGAACAAAAGAGAAGATACATGCACAAGAACAAAAAAAATCTGTTAAAAAAAGAAAAACGAAACATAATTTATATATACATACAAAAGATTTTAGAGAATACTCTAAATTATATTCGAAATACATATAAAGAAGAACAAAAAATAGAACGCTGTACAAAACGAGGCAAAGCAAAGTATTTATTTTTCTTCATTCTAAATATTTTCGTTTTGTTTATGAGACAACAAAAAGAAGAGAGATTCTATCAACGAGAATACAAAACAAAAAAAAAAAAAGAAGTTTATCTACAAACTAAAAGAATACGAACGACAATATTGTATTGAAATATAAGTATAATGCACAAATGGAAGAGTCATTCGTGAAGAAAAATCATTGAACGAAAAAGACAAAAATATTTTTTTGTTTTGTTTTGTGTTTTATAAATCATTTATTGATACATATCTTAAACGTTTATGTAATGATGGTGAATTTTCATCAATCATAAATGAAAAACGATATTGTTCATTATTTATTATATTTGTTTCACGTTCATAACGAACATATAAACAATCATCATTTGA